GGGGGGGGCACAGGGGCTCGCTGGGCCCTGCTGCCGCGCGCCGATGAGTGACTGACGAGCGAGTGACGAGCAGAGTGACGTGTGACGCGCCCGAGTGACGGCTGCTTTGATCCCCCTTGTATCAGGGCGCCGCCGACGCGGGTGCCATTCGGTGTGCGCCACCGCAAGTGACAAAAGGGCGGGGCGATTGAAAAACGCACCGCGAGCAAGATGGTGCTAACTGAAAAAGATAAAAATCACTGGTGAAAAGGGCGTATGTCCATGGGCTTTTCTTTGGACTCACGCCCTTTTCAGTTTTCACCAGTGAAATAATACCAACCTGCACCAGCAGCAGCAGCAGCGTGCAGGGCCGGCCGCCGCTGGAGCTGCTGCTGCAGCAGGCCGAGTGGGTACGGACACACCCGTTAGTCTCCCCGGTGTTGGCGTTGTTTTCGCTTTTTCGATTTTCGAGCCCAAATTAAAGGCCGACTCGGTCCTAAATCATATCGTCTCCTGCCGCGGGTGGTCCGCCTGCCCGCCCCCACCGCAGCGCCCCCCGGGCCCGCCGCCGCCGGCAAGGTACCACCGGCTCCGCCCCGCTGCTCGCTAACGACCCCGCACTCTCCTCTCCCCCCGATTGCATCCGATTGCGATTGCAAATCCGCACGAACTGCAATCAAGCAATGTTTGGGAAAGCAGCAAAGAGGCGTCGTCGTCGGCAAGGCTGCGGCGGGCTGAGGGGTCATAACTCACGCAGGGAGGAGCAGCAGGTTGAGGAGAAGGAGGAGGAGGAGGTGTTGAACGCCAATCTCGATCGCAATCCATTTGCGGGACGTGACAACCGCACCACAGCGCGACGCGCCGCCGCCGCCGCCACTCCCACAAGCGATGCGCGGGGCGTGAACGCAAACGCGTAACTGTGAATCAAGGCGGCAGCCCGTGGGAAGCACGCGCGCATAACTGATACTAATGGGTCTGTGTAGTTAAACCGTGCGCATGCATGCATGCATGCATGGGTCGCTTGAGGCGCACTATTTGAGCTAAAATTGGGTGTTTTGATGGCGGAAAATAGATGGGTGTCAAATTTTGATAAATGTAGGATTCAATATTTGGATAATATGAGGGAATTAGATGAGTTAATGCGAAAAACAGACGCCCGCCACTCGTCTTAGCTGAGCGCTTTATTTTCCATACCGTGCTTGCGCATCTGCTAACCCACATTAACTCGTTTAATACCCCCATATTATCCTGATGCTGAATCCTAAATATGCTAAAATTTGACACACATTTATTTTCCGCCATTAAAACACCCAATTTTAGCTCAAATAGTGCGCCTCAAGCGACCCATGCATGCATGCATGCATGCGCACGGTTTAACTACACAGACCCAATAGCGGCCGCGCGGTGTGGTGCAAATAGCCGCGGGGGGGGCTTTACTCGCAGATACATCGCACGACACAACACACTGTATGACGTGTACGTGTGGTAGGCCGCGGTGCTGCTCTACACGCCGTCATACTGTTGTTGTTGTTGTTTTTGTTTTTGTTGTTTGTCGCTATCGCGATGGCAAGCATTATCTGAAATGTAAATACGACGGCTGTTATATACTTTCTCGGGGGCACACGACACGCGGCAGCGCTTTGCTCCCACGATGACGAGGATGACGACAGCGTGAGGAGGATGACGACTATGTGAGGATGACGGCCCCAAGGTACAGGGCTACTTTGAAGAAAAAAAAACACAGTTTTCTTCAGAGAATTTTAAAGACAATTTTTTTTCAATGTTTGTATTGTTGTAAACAGTTTTATTTTTCTGGAAATATTTTAACTTTTATCAATTACTGTTATTGGAAAAGTTTCAAACTTTTCTGGAAAAATTTCGGACTTTAAAATGTCTTCACAGGGCAGAAAGCACATTAGTAGTTACATGTGTACTACATGCGCTGGTTAGTAAGAGCGTTGTATCGGGCAATGGGGCTTGCGGCTATGCGCCCCTTTGCGGCCAGGACGATTAGGCAACCTGCACGCACGCGTGCATGCGGTGCGCCTACGGTAGTAAGCAGTGTGAAACAGATCGGGCTCGGAAAGTCTGCAGCAGCCAAAATCGAAGAGACAATTAACGATAAGCTAGAGTTTTTGTGGGACTTTTAAATCAATTGACCATTTGCGTTTATTTCGCCGCACCCGTCTTCAGCTTCACTGAATTATAGCCAGAGTTCCTCCCTTGAGACTCGATCGACCGACAGCTACCCGCGCGGTTGAATCCGCATACTTTGGGTCAAGCGTCTTTCTTTCTCTTACACACGGGGAGCCTCCCCCCCCCCCTCTCGTGCTTTGCATGTGAGCCTCCTCACTACGTGCTACACATATTGGAACCCACGCTGCTCTTGAGTGTGGGGCGTGGCCGCGTGCCGCGTGCAAGAGGCTTGGCGTTGGCGAGGCGGGGTGGGGCGTGGCGGGGCGGCCCGGTAGGGCGTGCTCCTCCTGACCTTGATACGGGCCTGCTTTGTTTCAGCGGGGCAGACGAGCACTGGGCAGCGGCCGGGGCGCCGCGCCGTGCCGTCCAACGGACACGCGGGGAGGACGCACGCCTCGTCGGCGGCGGCCCGGGCCGCACTGATCCGCGACTCACGACCCCGGCCGCGCCGCACTACTCGCGGGAGCACGAGAGCGCCGGGGAGGACAGACCGCTAGGAGGGAGAATGAGAATGTGTTGATTAGTCTGATGCGCG